ACAAAGAGTGGACATGAAATTTTTATAAATTTTCAGCTCCTTTAGTTGACTTTCATTTACCAAGATGTGAAAAACTCTGTCAGTGCAAGGCAAATCATATCTGATAAAATTTTTGCGATACTGTCGATCATCTCGGTAGCACTGAATGACTTTATAAAGAAGTTCTGCCTCCTCTTCATTCGTTTTCTCTGACTCGGCACTCTTCGACATCGATATGGCGGAGTAGATCCAACGGTAAACGGTTGCGTCCACCCACTGCATTGTGCTCACATACTTGCGCAAAACTTCAACGATAGCTTTGGAGAAGAGAATGCACTTTATGTGGGGCAACGCCTCACAAACACTGACAATATCCGAGCCATTAAGGTATTTGCAAATATCAGCGTACATAATTTTCTTCGCTTTCTCCATCTTCCGCCTGACGGTAGCAGCAAATAACTCGCTTTTCCAACTTGTGAGACTCCCCAAGTGTCAGCACCGATCGGGTGAGCAGAACGCAAAAGTGAACTCGTTTTCCTCTAATCAGCATCAAAAGAGTGAAATTTGCATTTGACGAGGGTTCACTTCTGATCAGATCTTCCTCTTCTCCGCTCTCTCTAACCGAACGTTAATCTTTGCTCCCTCACCGTGGTCAAAGTTGCACCTCTCAGCCAAGCGTGGTTGGTGTTGCTGTTCCTGCCTAATTGGAATGCCAGACGCTGAGAAATGGAGCTGGTCATTGTTACGTCGCTGTTGACTTGAGTCATGTGGTCTGACACACGATGCCATGCCATGTAAGACAGGCATCGCATTGAGTTCTTCCTCTTTGCTTTGGTGTTTACGGGAAGCAGCGGTAAGCAACTGCGTTAGCTCGTCCTTTGGCAAAGTAGACAAGTATTTAGCCAAATAAATAGAGGTAAGGGGGAAGACTGCATGGGCAGGTCTCTCGCTTGTCACGATAGGCACTTCTCCTTCGCGCTCCTCACTTTCCTTCTGCCCATCCTCACATTGCGTTGATGGTAATTTGTGAACTTCACACCGTCCGGTTCAACTCACTAAACTGATTTTTATGACGGTATTAGACTAAAGTAATCGTAGTACATCCGCTCCTCTTTTCCATTTGTCTCCGCAGAAATGAAACTGCTCTGATTCAATGGTTTGGTTGCGTCGTCTTCGTAGGATAAAACTAGATTTGTCATTTTCCCCGGTAAACTGCACTCTCCAAGGCATTCCGTTGCTGTTCTTGTCAGTCCACTCGACGTGTTTGGCTGTCCATAGCTCGCAAAAACATTTTCCTGCTAAGTTCTTGTCCCATCTCCAACCGCAACTATTCATTTTGCCTCTTCTTGTCTTTGCTCACATCAAGTGGCACTGTACATCACAGAGCGTTAATGTTGTCACATGAATAGTCCTAGTTAGCTGCCCCACTTCCGCTTAACCTCCCAACATGGCTACCGGTGTCTTTTTTCACAATGCTTCACAGAGCATGATTTTCTGCCATAGACAACCGTAGCAGGTTGTCCTACCTCAGCTGTCCTTTCCTCCACCTAAGCTAGCGACCAACAGCAGTAAGGCAAAAGGAAAAGTAAGCTGTCGAGGGACACCGGTGAGATCGCAATCAACATACAAATGGCATGTGAATTGTGGTTTCCATTGATAAGAGTGGTCTCCCCTTGTCGAGAAGGTGGATTGGACACTGACGATTGTCGAGAGAGGATCCGAGGCATAAAGGTGAGCAATATGGCTAGCTCTAGTCTATGCGGTGGCATTGGAGTAGTCCCTTAGGCTCCCTCTTTTGTGCACTTCAAATGAAATGTTAGTACAGCGAGTTCAAAGGCTTCGCTTAATTTACGGTTTGCTTAACATTCAACGCCGATTTTAAAACCTTCGTGAAGGAGGAGAAGTTCGTCGTTTCCTCCAAAATGTGGCTAATCTCCGGCTTCAGTGCTGCTAGTAACTTGAAGAATCCTTCAAACAACATCAGTCCCATTGACAGCCTTGAGTTAACTGATCGGTACCCAGAGAAGGTTCATTGCCACCAGAGGCAATGCCCATCGATTCCCACACCGACCGTCCGACTAGCAAAGTACCAACGGAAGCGAGGGATTTCAACGCACGTATTGCACAGCTTTTACCATTGCAAGGTCCAACTTGTCTTTGGAGAGTGCATTTGGGTGGAGTGGATAATCCCGATTCGCCAAACTTTTGCCTTGTTTAAAAAAATTCGTCAAAAGAAGAAGAAGAAGTCCTGTGAAGACGGACTTTTGAGTTGGGTATGTCAAGACTTCGATCACTGCACACAGTAAATGTCAAATGAGTGTCCAAATTTTCAAATCTCATCTCAATACTTTGCCTTTAATCACGAGCTGAGTCTTTCATTCGGCTTCGATCATCGTGAGGTGTGACCGCGTTGATTAGACCACCGGTACTCCCTCAGAAACGTTTGGGCGTTCAAATGTTTTGATGTCTCTCCACTCTGAACCACGTCCAGAGGAAGGAAACCAGTTTCGCCGAGGGACGCTATAATGCATCGAAGTCACTTAGGGAAGTAGTAGAAGACTAGCGTTTGGCAAAATAACTGTAGCATGGCAGTACTAAAATCTTTGGCCTTTTGCGAGGTGATCATTTGGAATGCACGGCGCCTTTTAAATAAATTTGATTTTGTTGTTAAAACTGCCATTCGGTCCACCAAGAGCATGGAGAACCCTTCACTCTTCAGCCAAGTCAATGGTGACGAGATGCTAAAAGTGACTCTCTCGCGGCTCCCATTTGCTTGATTATATGCATCACCACTTCGAAGACGAGTAGCACGTGGACAGGACGGATCACTTCATTAGGGGACTGAGTCCAGCGCACCAACAAAGCACAGATTGTTTTATCAAGTACGCCACACATTGAAGCTTTGAAGGAGCTTTAAATTCGGATCGCCTGCTTCCACCACATTCCTAGTGTCAAAGTTAGCTATGCAGGTAGTTACGCCACTACGTTCGGCGCCAAAGGAGCACCGGTGCCATCAAAGGGCTGAGGGCGCTTAAGTTATGTGTGCCATGTTTAAGTGCTAAAATGCGAATGCTGCAGTAACAATTGGGCAAGGCCAGTTCAGCACCTTTGAGACATAATGGACAGCCCTTCCGGTGGTTTCGGATCGCCCTACAAAGCGTCTCTGCCTTAGACTCTTTCCATTGCTAATATCACCTCTCTGCGCACCACCACGAGGGGGAAATGCATTGTGTTGCCAGGGTTAGGTGTCTGCGCACCTCATTTGTAGCACGAGACTGCGTTGATGGTGTTATATGCGAGGAGGATCTTCATTCTGGTCATTTCTTTATGGACAGTGAGGGTGACTGATCCACTGAGATGCTTGAAAAAGTTTATTTTTAGAGCGGCGCAATTGCAGCAAGTGACACTTTTGATCCCCTTGCGATGGTTTGTCAATAGCGGAGTTAGGCTGAACGAAATACCCTCACCTGTGTTCACATTTGGAATTTTGATGCACTGCTAAGAAGTAAGCGACTCGACAATCACGGCCACCTACTAGCAGCTAAGCGAGACGTGGCTGCGACCTCTCCCCAACCCGAGGTCCAAAAGTATGGTAACTGTGCCTACTGCGACTTCTCCGCTCATTCAAATAAAGAGAACGGCAGAGGGTAAAGCCCCAATTTCAGTCTTTTTAGCTGTCTCCAAAAATGCGGCGGCTTAAAATTTGGCATTTAACTGATACGGAGGAAGTTAGCAATTTCAAAGGACATTGCCACCCTATTTAGCACCTTTTGTTCGGTTTTTGCCTTCGACATCCTAACAGGGCTCCAATTAAGGTCGTGTCCGTTTTCGTTAGGTGTGAGCGGCCAACCCCATTGGACACTTTGAAGTGGTGGTGGACATCAAAAATTAACTTAAAAGGACATTACCGTGACCAAAGCTACTTACTCGTGGACCCAATTTTTTTGAGCAGATTATGTTGCACAAAATAAGAAGAAGATGCGCAAATTGGCTCAGAGACGGTTGAATGCGTTGCGTTAGCTAGCGCACCTCCACTGGAAGTGGATCCACGATGTCCCCGCTGTCTGCACTTCCCCTTGGCAGCCATAATTGGTGTAGCTTGTGGTTGGGCGTTGGAAGGCTTCATAAAACTGGATTCTCTTCTTCTCTAAAACGGAGGAGACAGCGTTGACATGCTATTTGTATTTTCGATAGAAAAATGACTTTAAGGAGACGATTTATCTACGGCGACTCGATAGGCAAACTGACTGGAACGGGAGAAGTGGATGTACTGTAAAAAGGTCTGTTTCTTCAGTTTCGGTAATGTTTTGTTCTCACGCCAGTTACAAAATTAGCGTATTGCACAATCGGAGACTAAAAGTAGATTGATGGTCAAGTGATTTGCCTTTCTATGGGAACAAGCATGTTCAGAAGGTTTGCAATCACCGCTGCAGTGCAGCAGTGCCTATGACA